GCTTGGAGCAAGGTCGCCGGAGAAGTAAAAGGCGATGGGTCTGCAATCTGGACAGGGGAAGCTCCGGTTATCATCTTGACCTCGTCATGAAGTTTCCTGCTTAGGATTGCCACCGACTGCGGAGAAGAACTACCAGAAATGTTGCTAGCAGAGGAACCAGAAGTCACTGCCGGCCGGATACTGGGGAAACAGGCGATTTCCGATGGGAACACGCCATAGTGTCCACTGAATTGAAGGAAATCAGTGTGAGAATTTGTGGACTATGATGGAGGAGAAGGTTGGAGAAGAGGGAGAATGTGGCTGGGATGAAAGAACGAGAAAGGATAAGTTTTGGGGAACAATACGAGGAGTATTAGGTAATTTTGAATTTTCAATATAATTTTAATTTAACTATTATTTTTGGCAATTTCGTAATTAAAGTCGATGGCAACAACAAATTTTGTCCATATGACTAAATTTTACTTTGTAGAATTTTTACATCACTAATTCGAACCAAAGAACAGTTTATGCTGTTATCAATCAATATGTCATATAAGCAAAAACTCAACGAAATAATTAAAAAGAACCAAAAAAAAAAAAAAAAAAACTTTAAGGATCTAATTAAATTTTTTTCAGTTTAAAACTAAAAAGAGATTTCACAGAAAAATTTGGCGAACTAAATGAGATTTAAACAATAGCTAATTAAATACGGACAAAAAGGGTCTGCTCCGTTGTTCTACAGTTCTACTGCTCTGTGCTCATCCTTTCTTCCCCCTTTTGATTCTTTTTTTCTTCTTCTTCTTTTCATGATTTTATATTTTATTTTACTCTTTAAGTTTTTTCTAATTAAGGGTTCTTGTCTCTCTTTAAGGCTATCTTATGGGATAATTTATTTTTAAAAAAATAATTCGTGCGAATTTTGTTATTATTTTATAATTTTTTAACTAAAAATTTAGAGCAAGAGAAATGATAAGTATTGTATTATCATGAAAATGCTTTTTAATAATGGATTATCTCAGTAATTACTTTTTTTCTTTGTTATAATATTTTATATTAACTTATAATGTTCTTGTCAAATCAAAAGTTAGATTTAATTATAATATTCATACGAACCATTAGATTGTTTTTTTTTTTTTTCCCGCCCGGTATCCGGAGTTTCGCTCCGATTAATCCGGACTCGACCCATGTTGCGCACCTAAAAATGGTAGGTGAGTCTCCCAGCAGAAGCTGTTACGTACATAAGGTCTCGAACTCAAAATCTTACTTAAACTAGAACAAGCCGCTTACCACTTGATCCAACCCCTCGTTGGTGAACCATTAGATTGTTCCATTATCAAATGTTTAACTAATTATTTTACCTTTTTAAGATTAGGTTTTTTCTCATGTCTCTAATACATTACATCATGTGAATTAGCCTATAACCTTTGTGTTTTTTATTATTGATGGATAAATTTATTTCTACTTTATATATATATATAAAGCAAATTAATTACTTTAATTCTATTAATATAAAAGGCTGAACATAGCAATGAATTGGAACATGAATTGCCTAGAATGAATAATGCAAATTTGAATCAAATGAACAATTGTTTGTGATTAATTACATGTTTCATCTTCATTTATGGCTCCTTAATTCAGTCTTCATTCCTCGCTCCTTAATTTTCGGTGCCTGGGGTTCCACCCTTTGCACATTTTGAAGCTGCTAGGGAGGTATCTGAAAGACAAAATTCATGCAGTCAGAAACATAAACAACAAACTTTCACATTTTGGGAAAGACAAATATACATTATGAGTGCATTTTTTTTCTGAGTGGCTCATAGTTAATTGGTAAATTTGCAAAATCAAATTCAAAGATCTTTATTTGATGGATTTTCATGTTCTAGATGAGGAAGACAAGGGCTATTTATATTTTGTTCCGAGATACAAGAAAATTGTTTTCTTACCTGGGCCTCATCATAATATGAGGTGCATCCTTAAATTAATTGGTAAAATCGATAGAATAACCCATATCATATTCAAGTTATATGTTTCTTCGCTTATTTTTCAATGTGGGATTTCCGCTTTAACTAGGAACGCTTGACAGGTGAACTTCATATGCCCTCACATGCACACAAGCCCACCGGGCTTATTAGAGCAGAGCTTCATATGCCCCCATAGCCATACAGAGAAGACGGAGCCTAGACGTAAAGAGGAAGAAGAAGAGGAGCTTGAAGAAAGGGGCCAAGCCTCAATTGACAATGATAATTGAAGTAGCTCATATCACATTTAAGCCACATGTTTCTTCTCTGATTTTTCATTGTGGGATGGTAGGCCTCACTGCACCAGTGGCATAACATTAATTATCTCATTGTGAAGGTGAGTCAATATTCGCATTTGTCTTCCATAGAGAATTGAAGAGGAAAGGGAAGAATCTAGAGTGCACAGAGAATTTTTTAGATTAATGGAAGAAAATTTTTCTTCTCATTCATGAACAACCCAAAGGGATTACGGAGAGACTCCTTATTGTTGTTCCTCGTAAAAATAAATAGAAGAAAAAATAGACAAAAGAATAGCAAAAAAACAATTAATTAAAGATGAAGATGAAAAGTAAAAAGATGTCACCGAAATTATAAGAAGCTTGAGCTGAGGCGTGGATCAATCACTTTCTTTAGGACGTTTCGTGCCACTGGTGCAACAGATTTTTATGGTCACGCCACCCCCAGGATACAACAGCCCAACCTCCTTGTTGTATCTTTACAAGTACTGCACTCTTGTAAAGAAAGCTCTACCCCACCATCTTTTCCTTTGCCCAAAGAGAGTTGTATACTGTGTTTTTTTTTTTTGGAATAAAAATGTAAAATACAAAAAAATGTATCAGCCTTTGATAGGCATGGAGGCTGCCTATATATAGGCCTTCACAATGTAACCGAAGGAGACAAATGTAACCGAAGGAGACACAACATTAAATTTGAATGAATGTTTTTTCCGGTTATCAAAATAATAATTGAAATTGATGTACTAACATATTGCTTTAAGCCATTTGAAAAGCTGAAACGCATGGGTCCTCTCAATGAGACAAAAACGCATGGGTTCTTCCTTGAAAACAAAAAACACATGCTCATTAAATTTGCAAATCAATTTTTAATTAAAATTTACAACACTTTATTGTAGAAAGCTAGATAAAATCAATTGCAGCTTAATCCTACTCTTACTAATACCCGCCATTTAGGACCTAAGCTTACATCCTTCATTAATATTGATCGTTTTTCCAAAAGAAAAAAAATAAATAAATAAAGGAGAGGGAGTACGTACATATAATTTAGAAAGAAATAGTAATTTTATGCATAATAACAATTAGGAAGCGAATAGGAAGTTTTGACTAATTCTATTGTGCGGGATATGACACAAAACAGAAATTTGAATTGAAATTCATATATTGGCCGGTCACTAATTTACCTGCATGCAGAAGTTAGTTAAACGTTGGACATAATCCTGAGCTCAAATATAAGTGCATACAAGTGAAATTAAATGTTATTTTTAGTTTCTAAACTTTTAATTTTGAACATTTTTTTATTTTTGAATTATTTTTTATACTTTTTTCACCCATAGAGTATTAAAAATGTATTTTTTTAGTCATTTCTTTAATTTGTTAAATCTGTCCATATATGTACATTTTTAGTTTTTAAATTTATAAATTCAAAGATTAAAAATGTACTTACATTATAAGTTTAGGGACTAAGGATATGTATATATAGACAAATTTGATAGGCTAACAAACAAAATGACTAAAAAAATGCATTTTTAATACTAAAGGGATGAAAAAAAAAAAAGTTTAGGAACAACAAAAGTTTAAAGTTGAAAGTTCAAGAACTACAAATGGCACTTAACCGCTATGTTAAGACTAGTTTGAAATGCGATGATGAAAATGATACTTAAGAGTGATGTTTGGACTCAGTTACGCATGCAAGAAATGTAATTGATCTACATGCATGTCATATTTGCTATTGCTGCAGTTTAAAGAAATGGAATTTGGGACCTGAACACACGTTCCTAAATTGTAAAGAATGGAAATGCTGCAAAGTGTGCCATTTATGCTTTAATAAGGCAATTACAACCACTCTACAATCAACTCTAACATTTTGAACAGAAGAAGATATTACTAAAAGTTGATTGAGTTGTGCATAATTGCCAAATGTTAATTGAAGAATATAACAGTCATCCACTAATCTTCTCATTAAAACAAGAGTACAATTTGATTGTAAAATTAAAATGAATAGCTCATTTCTGAATAAAAGATTCAAATACTCTCTTTTACACAATAAAATAAATGCATCAAGAAAAGTAAAATGAAATAGTCTAGTGGCTTATAGAATTAAATACTTGATAATATATCATGTCATACATGAGTTTAGAAATTGAAATAAACCAATTTCAGAGTATGAAAGATTCTTTTATGTGTGTTAAATTAGCAATATAGGAACCTGGTAGCATGAATCAAAATGATTATGATGAGTGCGTCATTAAAACCTACAAGGAAATAAGAAAGCATCATCAATAAATATAGCTCTATATAAGAGATGTATGTACCTTTGCATGAATGGCAAGGTACATGAGACAACCCAGACAAGTGAAGATAATGGGAGCGGAAGGCACTCCCACCTCATAATCCACTTCACTGTTCTCTTTCAGAGTTACGAGACCAATATTGCTTTCTTCAAAATCTTAAGCATTCTGTAAAGAGCAACATATGTTAAAGGTGCAGAAAGCAAGGACGAGCCAAACATATGGATAAGATAAGGGTTTTTAACAAGAAATAGGCAAGGAAAAAAAAAGCCTCTCTCATTCATACCATGCTATGAGAAAGATATAATATATTTATATAGAAAGATTTCCAAGATTACGCCTAGAATGATAGTTAAGTATGAACACAAGATCCTCTTCAAGATAGAAATGTCACCTAAATCCCAACACTTTT